AAGGCAACAAATCTCCTTTTTCAACACCAGTGTTTTGTCTGAGGTTTCAAAACCCTCGCGGTGTCATCACAGCCTCCGCCCCGCTGGCTCGGACCCCTCACCTACATCCTGCAGGGAAGGCGCAGATGGGCACAGCGGCAGTGCCAGCTCCGCCTAAACCGGGCTGGGATCTGTCTCTCGCTSAAAATCCACCCAGCACGGCCTCCCTCGCTGCAAACGGGAGATTTTGGCGCTGGAAATGCCATCCTTGGGCTGCCAGGACCCGGGAAGGTCCCTGCAGGGGACGGTTCGGGTTATGGAGGGCAGGGTTTTGTCTGTAGATTTTTTTTTTTTTTTAAAAAAAAAAGCCTTGCAAAGAGCCAGGCACGGAGGAGATTTATGTTTATTTTGCTCGGTTAATAACCCGTGGCACGTCCTCCCCTGCGGCGTTAGGGTGGATCAGACAAAGCTGCATTTAAATTACGGCCGTGCCCGATATTTATTTTTTAATATATTTTTATGGTCGCCTTCCCCATTTATGGTGAGCTGGGAAAAAAGCCCGGGTTGTGCCAAGAGCTGCCTAAGGATCCTAAAAGCTGTTGGGGTGAATCCTTGGAATTCAGAAAAGTGGGAGAGGCTCTTCAGGTCCTTTAAGAGTGAATTTTGGAATTCAGAGCCAGAAAAGTGGGGAGGCTCATCAGGTCCTTTAAGGGTGAATTCTTGGACTTCCGACCCCAAAAAAGTGGGGGACACTCTTCCGGTCCTTTAAGGGTGAATTTTGGAATTCAGATCCCAGAAAAGTGGGGAGGGTCCTCAGGTCCTGTAGGGATAAATCCTTGGAATTCAGACCCCGGAAAAGTGGGGGAGCCTCTTCATGTCCTTTAAGGTTGAATTCTTGGAATTCAGACCCTGGAAAAGTAGGGGAGGCTCGTCAGGTCCTTTTAGGGATAAATTCTTGGAGTTTAGACCCCCAAAAAGTAGGGGAAGTTCTTCATGTCTTTTAAGGGTGAATTCTTGGGCTTCAGACCCCAGAAAAGTGGGRGAGGCTCTTCAGGTCCCTGTTGGAGTGGTGACATCCCCGGGCCTGCTCCAACCTGAGCCCAAGGGTGACAAAGGGACCTCAGCAAATTTTTCCCGGAGTTCCCCACGAGCACCAGAGAAATTTTTGGGATGAGTTTGTGTGATCAGTGTTGGTCAGTGCCTGGTGGGACGGGAAATCCTGGCGCGATTTGGGGATTTAAATGGCTCGGTTTTGGTGTAGCTGTGTCATTTCGGATGGAGATGCGGGGTTTTTGYGTTTCGGAGCAGGGAAATGCTGGGAATTATTCCCGCCTCGGGTCTGGGATGGCCTGAGCCACATCTGCAGCTGTGCCTGGGGAGCGAAACCGGCTCTGAGCACAAACCCAGCGCCCTGAGTCAGCCCGGGATCCAGGAATTGGGGCTGCGGGGAAGCACCGCAGCGGGAGCCTGGGGATGAGGTTTGGGCTTGGGAAAGCTGGGCCGGTTCCAGCAGGAAGGGGAGGTTTCTCTGGATTTGGGGTGTGATGGGATCCGACCTCTGCGGGGTCTCACCCTTGTGTTTAGTCATTCCCTGCCCTGGGAATGCTGTCCGAACGCTTCGGGCTATTCCAGCAGCCAGGAATAGCCCGAATTCCAGGAACCCATCCTGGCTGGAGGTGACATTCCCACCTCGGCTCTTCCCTGAGCTCCTCCCGTGCTTTCCTGCATTTTCCTCTTTCTCCCAATTTTCCTCCCGATGGAGGAGACCACGACACTGCGGTGCCATAGCAAGGCTGGCATAACGGGATGTGACATTTCCCGTCACGAAAGGACTGGCGGGGTCGGGGCTGACAGGTTCCTTGGGGCACCAGAGCCCGGTGACGGTGATGGGAACGGCGCCGGCAGCGAGAGGGTCGGGGCGGCGTGGGCGAGCCGGAGCGGTCCGGGAGCATCCCGTGCCCCAGATCCGGCACCAGGATCGTCGTTTGAGCGAGCTGGAGTGCGAACGGGCAGCTAAACGGGGAAATTTTGGAGTTTGGGAGTGCTACGAGACGGCCGGGCCCTGCCCTGCTCTGTCCCTGCGCTCGGGGATAATCGGAGCGAGAGTTTCTCTTGGATGGGCTCTTTGCTCTCATCTTTTTGTTGGAAAGCAGGACGAGCCTGAATGTTTCTGGGAGCTGGGGGTGTAAGGTTGGCTCTCCCCGCTGCAGCTGGTTTTGGTGGGCAGGAGGAAACCCCAAAATGTTCACTTTGCCCTGCAAGGACACGGTGGAACAGCTCCACGTCCATCTGTGATCAGCATCGCGTCCCTTGATCCCCTCTCCGGCATCAGCGCYGCTCGCAGGGCGGTTCTGCCCTTCCCGGGATTCTCTCTTGTGCYCCCTCCATCCTGACCTCGTTACAGAGATCACAAAAAYGCAGGAGAACAAYCCGGGGCTCCCGCTGYGAGGCCGCTCGGCCCCGTGGAGCCKCTCGGAGCAGCGYAGGAGGATCCCCGGTTCTTTRGGATCGGCTTTTCCTCCTTGGTTAACCCTCGGCTGCTTCCCCCCGCACCTGGCTGAGCCCCCCCGGTGTCCCGCGGTCCCCGGGGCCGGGTTGGGACGCGCTCCCGGCCAGGCGGGAGCAAAGCCCAGCCCTGCCCGGCTGCGCTTCCCCGGGTCCCATCCGTCATCTGTTTGTCCTGGTCCCCTGCCAGCGATTGTGCCGATTCCCACACCCACTTTCCATAACCCTCCGTCCTCGCCCGGGCGAATCGCTGGCGAGAGCTCGCCACCCATCCCTTTCCCCTCCTCTCCGATGGGATCAGACACGTTCTGGAGAGGGGGAAGAAAGGGAAGGGGTGCGTGGGGGGGACGGGGAAGAAAACAAAAAGATCAAGAGGAGAACACAACGTGACTCATTGCCTTTAATTTATTTGTGTTTATTTATTTATTCTCCCCCCGCTCCTTCCACCCTCCGCTGCGACGTGCAGGCAGCACCGACCTTCCAGGGAGGCTCTCTCGGTGTGCAGGGCACCAGGAATGAGGGGGGATTAAATCTTTTTGGCTGAGGAAAAGATGGCAGAGAGGATCTCCTGGCGCTTGAACCGTGTGGCACGGATTTTTCAGGCTGCCCGGCTCTCTGCACGAGCATCCCGCGCCCCGCCAGCTCTCCGCAGCACCCGGCCCAGACCGSAGGGTGGGAATATTCTCATTCCACCTCCTCCACCGCGTCCTCGGCAGGGGAAAGAGAGAAAGAGGAGATGAAAGGCTGGGAAGCTCAAATGGTGTCATTAGGAACTATTAATGCTCTCATGAAAGGGCATTAATAAACGCGGCGGCTCATCAGCGTCCATTAGCTCGGCTCGTGGCGGGGATCTTTGGGAGCCGCCGGAGTGTGATGCTCCCCTCGCCCTCACCGGCGTGTCACAAAGTGGAAAGAGGCTGCAGAGGGGGGGTTATTCCTCCTAAAAACCATTCCCTGGGCAAAAAAAAA